CGACCTCCTCCATGAATCTGCAGTGAACTAATAACTCATGGTCGATTTACTTTGAGGCTTCGCACAGGTAATTAATTAAATTTCCAGACATATAGTTACACGCAGAGCCGCCATGTTAAAACAAAACAACAATGGAATTTAGTGCAGAGCTTCTGTGCTTTTTTCACTGCTTACTGGATCGTGTACGCTCTGATAAACAGCACCTGCCGGATCAAGTTATTTATTATTATTCTTATTCTTCTGTCTCTCGCGTGAGAAATGCTGCGGATTCGATATTATTTTGTTGGGGGCGCAGCCGTTTATGGGAGTTTGTCTTGCGTTCAGAAAATCATGCGATCTCAGATCAATCCTACACAGCGAAGCAAAGTGTAGATCTTATTTGCCTAACTTGTGAAACGTTTTGTATAAATTAAATAAAATCTTGTCTACTTGCTTGCTCAATTTTATCAGTCAAATCACAATGAAATATTATTATTAAATGTTAAAATATTATTACAATTAACATTTAAATATTTAAAATATATTAAAATGATAGAGAGCATCATTTTAATATATTTTAAATATTTAAATGTTAATTGTAATAATATTTTAATATTTTAACATTTAATAATAATATTTTATTGTGATTTGACTGGTAAAATTGAGCAAGTATATATTCAACACAATAATGACGCAACATTATCATCTCATAAAATTTTGTCGTTCTATCCTTCACACATTACAGATTAAAGCATTTCTAGTTTATTAATTCTGCCGGATAATTTCTTAATCAGTTGAGCGACTATCGGGTGTGTCAAGGAAGATTCTGCTCTACGGGATATTTACTAGCTGCTTTCACTTACGTATATGACTTCGTACGAGGGGCGCGTTCTAGAGTAAACTCCCGTAAGTCGTGTTGTGCTTCCTGAACGTCGGATAAGGCCTAGGACATGAATAGCCGTGATTGGCGCTGGAGTCGCTGTATCGGATGTTGTCGAATGTTGTGTCCATTTGTGGGGGTTGGGGTTGGATTGTGAAGGGATCAATGCTGAGGGTGGTAGTTCGTCCCTTGAGCCGAGTGAGGGCACAGAAATTGAATTTCGGACGAGTGAGACGAAACGGGATGTTTCTGGTCCAGTGGAATAAATCTGTGGATAGAACGGCACTTGTGAAGCTGCCGCACACACAAACAGTGATCGAAATCGAGCAATGTCTTTTCTGTAATCTCGGAATTGCATTTGCTTGATTAAATCCGAGTTTTTGTGAAAGAACGAATCCCGTTAAGCTGCGGCCGCTGCGTTACCAGATTCAAAACGTTGCGTCTCTGTGAATCGAACTTCGTTGTGGCCCGAATTCTGTTTCGTTCTTTGAAGCAGATTTAGTCATTTTCATTTGCGCGAATAAAAAGTTTCT